GTGAGTTGAGTCATGTATGACTGTTCGCTGAGTGCTTTAACCACTGAGTCAGTCAATTACTGTAATTTCCTCTTTTATGTTAAGCCTTGTACTGATTTCTCCTTTCACTTTCCTCTCAGGTACTCAGTTGAGGGCTTTCTTGATAAGAACAAGGACCCGCTTTTCCAGGATTTCAAGCGACTGATGTACAACAGGTAGTAGTTTGAAGACTTCAACATTCCTTTCATTGAAATAATCAATGTAATCCAAAAAATGAATATTCTGTCCTCATTTTTTCACCCTTGTGTCTTTTAAAACCAAACCTCTATGGCTTTTTTGTGGACAAAAATGCACCTTAAAATAGTCTGTATTAGTGGACAAACTGGCCTGTAAGGTAAGAAATGACTAGTACTACTTCAAATGTCATACAGTGACCCCAAAAAACATTTGTACACTTAAGCCACACTTAAATATGTATAAATGTCATTGTATTAAATAAAATGTCAAACCAGATGGCATCTGCACACAAATGCTGCTGGAGCTTTTCTTCAAACTAATTTCACTTTCTGAGCCATTATTACAACAACTTTTAAGCAACTAGTGTCAGGGTATTTTTAGTGGATGTATGGAGCTCAGAAAAATGTCTTTCTTTTAAATAAATGCCACTTGGTTTGATGAATGTTATATAATGCTGTCTTGTGTGTGTGTGTACCTGGTATTTATCACGTTATGGGGACCAAACCCCATAAAACATGGAAACACAACATGTGTGTGTGTGTGTGTATGTGTGTGTGTGTGTGTGTGTTAAAGAACACTTTAAGTGTCTGAAAAAAATTGGGGATCACTTTATTTAGGTTCCACTTAAACCCTTTATTCATCATATTTTAACGTAATCCACACCGATTATTTTTCATGCACATCCGTATCTTATGATTTTTGTTAATTTATATAAAAAAGTCAGCTGAGCCCATTATGTTAAAAATGTTAAATTCTCACAAATTGGTGTGATGGGGCCATTGTGGAACATTATGTCTGCAAGAGCATATGTTTTAGAATTAAGCATGAATTTAATCTGGGTTTAATCTACACAACTACCCCTTTAATACTCTTTACTGTGAAAAGATGAAATAGGGGTCTCTCAGAATAGCTCAGGTAATCTCTTATGTAGACGTGCTGAAAAATGTAATCTCTCTAATGGAGATACTGTTTGTATTTGATAAAGCAGTTAACAGTAGAGGAAAACCTGCTAAATCCTAATTTAGTGTGGAGTCATAGGTGACTCTCCTCTCCTCTCCTCTCCTCTCCTCTTAAAGAATTTGTGACATTTGGTGCTGTTATTTTGGGATGACCCAATGCATCCATGATAGTTTCTGTGTCTTCCGGGCTGCACGTGTTTGTGTGGTAAAGTGGGGCTGCATCAGGGGCAGCTTGTGCTTTTTTAGGTCACAGTAAAGGACTGGCTGCCCTTCCTCTGGTCCTGTGGGGACACCTGTACCTCATCTGACCGCTCACCCCATCCATCCTGACTTCACATGCTCTCTACACTGTAAAAATTAATATGTGTGGTTGTTACCAAAGAGCTTCTACCTGATATGAACCTCAAAATTACTTTTGTTCTTAAAGGGATAGTTCACCCCAAAATGAAAATTCTGTCATTAATTACTCACCCTCATGTCGTTCCACATCTGTAAGACCTTCATTCATCTTCGGATCACAAATTAAGATATTTTTGATGGAATCTGAGAGCTCTCTGACCCTCCATAGACTTCTCCCTCCACAACTTCAATTTTGCGAAGCTACGAGAATACTTTTTGTGCGCAGAAAAACAAAAATAACATAATTCTTCTTCTCTGAGTTACGTCTTCCACCATTTTGGAGAGTACCCAAGAGTGTAATCTACGTAATCAGCGTTGTTTACGTTCGGGGAGGGGAAGCTCATGCATGAATGTAATCGGCGTAATCAGCGTTGTTTAAGCTTAGGGTAAAGCGTGCGTATGTGTTGTGATACTCTCCAAAATGGCAGAAGACAGTAACTCAGGGGAATAAAGTCGTTATTTTTGTTTTCTTTGCGCATACAAAAAGTATTCTCGTAGCTTTGCAAAATTGTAGTTGAGCCACTGATGTCACATGGACTATTTTACCGATGTCCTTGCTACGTTTCTGGGTCTGGGAACATTGCAGTTGCATTGCTGTCTACAGAGGGTCACAGAGCTCTCAGATTTTATCAAAAATATCTTAATTTGTGTTCCGAAGATGAACGAAGGTCTTATGGGTTTGGAACGACATGAGGGTGAGTAAT